GCCATCACACTCCAGAGTTAGCTGATTTGGAACAAGAAATCCTTTAATGAAGGAGGAAAAATTTATATATGGCTATTACACATGGAAAAGTAAACATTTCAAGTGCCTCAACAGTTTTGATTACACAGCTTATCTGTGCACAGCGAGTTCATGGAGCTCTTGGCCCCTCTTATCCCTGCCACCAAGGACTGACTTTGGGGGCTGGAATTACCTCCTAGAAAGGTCCTGGCTGGTGTGCCCCACTTGTTCCTGGTGCCAGGGCATCAGGCATGTAGAGACTCTTCTACACCAAGGCTACCAGGGGTCTCACGTCCTGGGGGCATCATGGGTGAGACCCTGAACACAACAGGTTCTGAGACACTGACCGTGCTCACAGGGGTCTCAGGTTGAGGGAAGAGACGGGGATCTGACTCCACGTTTCAGAAGGCTTGATTTATTATTTTATTATATATATTACATTAAAACTATACTAAAATAATAGAAGAAAGGGTTTCATCAGAAGGCCAGCTAAGCTAAGAATAGAAAGGAAACAATGATAACAAAGGCAGCTGTCTCAGACTCTCCAAGCCAGCTGTGCTGTGATTGGCCATTAATTACAAACAAGCACATAAGACTAATCACAGATCTACCTGTTGCATTCCACAGCAGCAGATAATCATTGCTTACATTTTGTCCCTGAGGCCTCTCAGCTTCTCAGGAGGTAAAAATCTTAAGGAAAGGATGTTTTATAAAAGATGTCTGTGACAACACACCATGGTCTCATACCCTGGTAGGGGGAGTCTCTCACAGTGGGTGTGGGGGTGTCTCTGTATTCACATGAAGGAAAGATTTGGGACTGTGAGCAGGGGATGGAGCCTTACCCAAGCAAGGATTTGGGGTTATGTGAGCAGGGATGGAGCATTACCCAAGCAAGGGGCTCGGGGTTTTGTGGCCAGGGAGTGAATGCTGTCCCTGAGCACCCCACAGCCCAGCTGCAGGAGATGCCTGAGCGTCACCAGGCCATGACTCGTCACAGCAGGACACATTACTAAACACCATCAGATGAAGTTACAAACAAAATGCCAACGCCGTGGAAGAGCAGAGGGCACGGGCAGCGCTGGACCCTCACAAGTGCGTGCCTGGGGCTGTTTTCCTGCCCCATCAGCTGCGGGCGGGGTGAGCGCCCTGCCAGGGGCGCCAGTGCTCGTTAGGGCCTGTGCTGACACGGCACAGCTCCTTTCATCCTGCGGGCCCGGCACTGCTGCGCTGGGCAAAATGGGAGCTGCTGCCTTTAAACAAAGCAGCTGTTTATCCTTGAAACAATTAGAGACGGCAGTCAGATCTTGAACTCGTTACTGAGCCCAAAACAATTATGATAAAAACAAGTTCCAGATGGGCTCAAAAGGAGTTGTTTTTGTCTTTACTGAATTAGAATGGATTCCATGTCTTCAAGTTTCTCTGGTATTTATGGACAGGAAACATGAATTACACACAATAATTTACTACAAACAAAAGAGATGACCGCTGCAACAGCCCATTTATCTTTGCTCATGTGCCTTCTTGAGGTTTATGTGCTGTTTAACTCATGGGGAGAGTTAATAGCATTTTTCTCTGTTTTCTAACTCTGCAGAAACTGAGACGAGAAGCTGTTGAATTTATGCTGCAGGTTACTATTACAGGGCCTGCAGATGCACAATGGGTAAATATTGTCTGGCAAGGAGACACCACCATGTTTCAGTTCTTCCCTTGAAGGACTTGTGCAAAGGTTTCAGTTGGGAGTCCTTCCTTAGATCCTCTGGCTGCTCCAAGAGCATGCAGACAAAAACCTGTTTCAAAGCCTGTCCAAAATGGACTGAAGTCTGGGCATCACACATATTTATGTGGAAACTTTGAGTTTCTGACACCTTGGGTTTTGAAGCTGATGTTGCACACTGACAGCAATATTGAGCTGATCCCAGAAGGAAGAGGAGCCCAGCAGATGGCAGGAGGCAATGGCACATCTGCTTGGAGTCCCCAGGCAGGGCAGAACAAGGCAGGAGGAAATCAGTGAAAAATCTCCTGAGCAGTGTTTTTCTGCCAGTCCCTCTTCCTTCTTGCAGCTGAGACAAAGACTTTGGCTTTGGGGGTTTTTTTTTTCAGTTTTTAGAGTTCATGATTTTATAAAGGCCACAAGTCAGCATCACTGTGAAGGGGTGTGTGTGTGTGTGTGTGTGTGTGTGTGTGAACCCAAATATGTGCCTGTGCTGATGGGAACTTGTGGAAGGCCATAACTCCAAAAACCCATAAAATGTGACACGGATTGTAATAAAGACTAAAGCTGCCCTGGGTGTACTGCAGTGCATGAAGTCAGCTTGGCTGAGCTCCCCAGGGACCGAGAAAGCAGAAAGCAGCCTGGGAACTCAGGGTGACACTGGGATTTGTTTGGCCTCTCCCAGTGGGAGCTGCTGAGCTTCCCCATGCATTTCATCACTTCTCCCCCTCTCCCCATAAACCTTAGAAAACAGGCTTTAAGTAGAAGCCTGGACAAGTGGAGTTCTCCAGTTTTGGCTAGAAGGGAAGAGGAAAAAAAATTGAGAAACTGATTATTAATTTTTTTTAGATTTTATGCAGTGTCTAATTTGCAGTCTTTCACGAAGAGTGAGTGGGATTGATTATTTGGATTCCCATCTCTGTGGAGCTAGTGAGGGCTCCTTGCAGCAGAGAGGCTCCCAGTACTCATCTCCCAGCCTTGGTTCAAAAAAGGAAGGGGCAGGAATCATGGTGCTTGAATTCAGCTTCTGTCTGGTGTCCACAAGCAGCAAGAGCAGATAGGAAACCTCTAATTCCCCACCAAAAGGAACAGGACACTTATTCATTTATTTCATTTATTATCCATTTATTGACTCTCAGTTCTTCAACTCAGTTGCCCATTCTGCTGGGTTGGGAGCTCTGTGGCATGCCAGAGGGCTGAGCAGCAGCAGTGCAGCATTTGGGCTGAACAGCCCCATGAATAAGGGCAGCCCTTTTACAGAGCTCCTGGCCCAGTGAATTTCCCTGCAAGCTCAGCTTTTCTCTGTTGCCAGAGCTCTCATATCCATCTAAGCATCCACCAAAACCTGTGCCCACACAGCCAAAATTATTGACATTGTTGCAGTTTGAGGTGCAAGTTCCTCACTCAGCTCCATTCCCAGCAGCTCCTCCTTCTCCCCCAGCCCCATCAGAGGTGCTTCCAGCACTGCAGCACTCCAGGGCACTCAGGAGCCCATTCTCTGTTCTGCCAGACACCCCCCCAGTCTCTGCTCCTCTCTCCCCCATTATGTTGCTTTAACCTCATGTCCCGTCATCTTCCATCTGGGTTTTGTATTTCATCAAAGGGCACTCAGGATGGAGGTGGTGGAGGACACAAAGACTCCCTTCCCCCTCGGTAATTTCATTTCCCATTAATGGAAGGTTTAAAGGGAAATCTCAGGGCTCATTAAGGCTTTGATGACAGCTTAACCCTCTGCAGCACAAACCCAACACCAGGCCCGTTCCTCATCTGAATCCAGGGTTGCTGTAACATTAGAACCAACTGCTGCACAGGGCAGAAAGGTCTGGGAAGCACAATCAGAGGGAGAGTGAAGGATGCCGGGTTCCTGGAGATGTGTATCAGCTCTGGCTCTCAGGAGCGCTGTCTGTGTGGGACACACGGGCAGAGACAGGATCTGCTTTCTCCTGAGGGCTGAGAACAGACCCTGCTCCTCCTGAGGGCCCAGGCTCTGCTCCCTCCTGAGGGCCCAGCACAGACCCTGCTCCCTCCTGAGGGCCCAGCACAGACCCTGCTCCTCCTGAGGGCCCAGCACAGACCCTGCTCCCTCCTGAGGGCCCAGCACAGGCCCTGCTCCCTCCTGAGGGCCCAGCACAGGCCCTGCTCCCTCCTGAGGGCCCAGCACAGGCTCTGCTCCCTCCTGAGGGCCCAGCACAGGCTCTGCTCCCTCCTGAGGCCTGCGTCCAGCACTGCTGCCGTTCCCCCGGTCTCCTCAGCATGCAGTGGCACCACACATCTCTTGGTTTCTTCCAGCGATCTCGCACAGCTTGGGGAAGCGCCTCACTACTCCATCAGGAGCATGCTCTCACTGCAGGAGACGTTCCAGCAGGAATTACTGAAAACCCCAAGCCCTTCGTGCCTTAGTGACTACAAGACCCTTCTGATCAGCCAAGCAAGCGGCAACACAGCCGGGCTGAGGCAGCAGCACCGCCGCCCTTCTCCCAGCGGGCTCCTCTCCGTCCGAGCCAGCGGGGGAACACCGCGCTGAGAGT